AAGATAGTTCACATAGTTGATCTACTGTCTTTTATTTCTTTGCTGAAGGAAACAGCTAATGAGTCCTTGATTGATCAATATTGCATGTCTCCATTTGTTTTCCTGAGAAACCACTTTGCAGATATCAATATGTAATACAACAAGCAGTGTTAATTTCCTACCACTTTGTTTGTAACTCTGTATTGTTTGTACTGTTCTTTTGGTATTTTGTAAATGGTTGTCTGTCTGTTAATGTTTTCCTCCTTTTATTTTTAAAATTAAAAAAAAATTCATGTTCATCTCTCAAAATTCACCCTTAAATGATGCCTAGTCTTGAAGCCTTTTTTTACCTCTTCATACAAAATTAAGCATTTTTCACTTTGTGCCCCATGTTGCCTTATTCTTTCCAGAAATATTTAAAATTTGATATAGTTGCTAGTACTTCTTCAAGGCAGATATTGTATTCTGATCACCTTTATGTTCTTACTGCCCTAGAATACTTGTTTCTGGATATAAAAAGATATAAGGCCATGTTTCCCTTCCTGTTCCTTCTACACAGGAACATACTGGATTTCTGATAAACACTGCCCAAGTGAGCTCTCCTCAGCCATCTCCTTCAAAATGAGGATACTTTTACCACTTGGAGAACTTGTGACCCATAGATATCCATTTGTTCTCTATTAGGATCTATAATTTTATGCAAAAAGAAGAGTTTACAATAGGAAAATTATAAAATAATGATGCACAATATAAAACAGTTTTCTAAAATTGTTGAATAAAGTTAATTTCTCAGATGAAAACTAAATAACATGGATTGCAATTACAGACCTCAATGGGATGCCTTCAATCTTTATATACTCTCAGGAGAAATTATTCTGGATTTCTATCCAGTGTCACAACTTCTGGCCTTCACCTGATGTATGACAAGACATGGAGCCTTAACTAGATGTAATCATGTAAAGTATGATATTAAATTCAATCTCTAAGTAATAGGAATACAAAGGCAGCACTTGAATTCATACCAGAAACAAAACCATATACAACCATTAGAAGAAAATTCTAAAGAAATGAGGATATGCTGCTATTTTGAGTTCTATTTCTTAGAAAAAGGAATGAAGAAGTCTTGGATTTGGCATCAGGAAACAGGCACAATCTGACATCCACACAGAGGACATATTAAAGATGATGGAACTTCAGGCAGCCTACTTACCTGTCACCCATCCAACTTATTCTTGTTTAAAAAAACAAGTTGGTCGAGAGTTCTTTTTTATGTATTCATAATATGTCATGCACACAAAGTAAAACACAGTCACCTGGTGTCTTACCATGAGTCCATTGAATGTCGTATAAAATGGACCTAGGAGGATGCTAGCCACTGAGCAGACTTGTGCTGTGTGGTCTCATCCATCAGAACACTGAAGCAAGACATTGACTTTTTTTACCTTCATTGCCTGTGAAGACAAGAAGCATAAAAGTACCATAATCAAGAGGATACTGGGTTAATAAACAGGATTACTAGGCACTATCAGTACAGTACAGAGGACCTGGTCTTACTGGGCAGCACGAACTTCCTCTCACAACATTGGAATCTACTAGGAGGAATAAAGAGAGTACAAGAGAAGGAGACCTTATCTAATAGGCAAAGAAAATCAAAACCAACCCATGATGGGGATAGAATAAAAAACAAAAAAAACAAAAAAACTCATGCTCAAAAAATAAAGAAGAGTGCTTCATTTCAGTCCCCAGCCTGAGATAGGGTCTCACTACATAGGCCAGGCTGGCCTCAAACTTATGGTGATCCTCCTGCCTCAGCCTCCTGAGTGCTGGGATTAGTGGCATACACCACCACAACCAGTTTAAAATGATTTCCTCTAGTCATTAATATAAATCCTTTCAATTTAAAAATTACAAAACAAACAATCAAAAAATAATGGAGTGAGTGTACCTGCTTAGAATGGAAAAAAAATCTTAGATCCCTGGGGTGATCCAATCTCACATGAGCCTATGCCTGACATGCCTGACAACCATGGGCACCCATACAAAACCAGGTACACTAGGCACAGTGTAGTCTACACTCTGCACATCACCGGAGACTGGATAATCCCTACCTAGTGCATTAAACTAGTCTTCCACATGCTTGGTAGCAAGGACTAAAGGCATTCTGACTTTCCCTGTACTTTGGATGCCTGTGACCCACTACTTAGAACCCTGTGCCCTTACTGGGCCTGTGGAAATCTTATCACATTAGTCAGCAGTGCACATGGATCTCCTTTGAGCACTCTGCGGTGACACAGATCCCTGCCTGGTGTCTGGAACTGGTCCATGGTCCCCAAAATATACATTGGGTGCCAAATATTGATCCCAAACTGCAGAAATCAATGAGAGGAGCCTCAGAACTCCAGGTCTTACACTTTCCCTGGTCTGATGCCCCAGCTTGAACAGCTGTCACAAATGGAATTACAGAGTGTGATCCCCTTGCACTGGGTAACCTCCACTACAAACTCACAAACTGTAAGGAGGGGCAAAAAGAAATGTGATTTGTAAGATCAAAGACAACTGGTGCTGGAAGAAAACACTTCTGAGATTCGTAGAAATATATCTTTCTCGCTCTCCCTCTCTCTCTCTCTCTCTCTCTCCCTCTCTCTCTCCCTCCCCCTCACACTGTCACTCTCACTCTCATTCTGTTTTTCTCCATTCATTTAACTCAATTTTTTGTTCTTGTGGATGTTTTGGTTTCTTTGCTCCTCTATTGGTATGCTTTTATTTTCTTTCAGTGGAGCCTGGAATTCTACCACCCATTTTCATGTGCCTGCTCCCTTTTCATTTTGTTTGTTTAAATAGAGCCTCCATTTTTTTCTTACTCTCTCCCTTCCTTTCTAAGTTTCTGTCTTTCAACTTGTTCATTTAGCATTTTGTCTTCTTTTCTTTTCTTGCCATTTAATCTCCACTCTTATTGTTTATCCTTTCCCTAGTTGGGTTTCTCTGTACTACTGATTTCCCTTTACTTCTTCACAGGACCCTTTACATCAGTCTTTCCACCTTCTTCACGTCATTCTTTGCTTAACTTTTCATAATCTATTTTTCTTCATGCTTTCATACCCATATCATTTACCTTTATTAATCTGTAGGTAGATAATGGTGCCCAAGGTGGAAAATAAAATCCCAGTGCCAAAGAATGAAAATTTGGAGCAATGGGACCAAATAGGGAAGTGGGAAGGAGATGGCAGTAACTGGTGTTCCATGCCAATGTTAGGCTTTTATGTGTCCTTGACAGCATTTGTGGTATGACAAATTGTATTTGTATATACCGTAAAAATAGAGGACTCAGCAAGATTAATTCTTCAGGATTTCCCTCTCAAAATCTGTTTTTAGGGTAGCTCAGCCCTAACATAAACTACAGAATTTCTAGGATATCTTTATTTCTAACTCTGGGACAGAGTATACTCATAAGCTTGTCTGAGGAAAGAAAAGTCTTCTCACCAGGAAGCTGAAATAATGGCTTGGGGTAGGACTGTGGTATGAGTAGCAGAATAATAAGCAAGTCTTTGAAAATATGGATAGATCTGTCCCTATCTTCAGCATATTTTCTCACCTGTTAAATAGTATCTACTCAGCCTTCTTCTCACCAATCCTGTGCTTCAGTGGCGGCCAATTCCTTTTTATGCACTATTAAGTGCAATAGGCAATGGATACAAAAGTACATTTTTAAAACTGCAACAGGCTATAGAAATGCAAAGTGGTAGTATTGTTATAGGACAAATATAACTCTCAACCTGTTAGATGCCAAATATGCCAAGTTCATAGTTCTATAACATGGAGGAATGAAGTCATGAAGCAAAGGAAGAAGTTAGGAGAGATTTTATTTTTTGAAATAAGAAGAAAAGAATGGCTCCTGGATTTCCAGGAGGGGTCCAGAATGGGGTGACCACAGAGGCCCTTGTCAGGCCCTTTGGACAGCAAAGTCATGATGTGGGTACAATGTGGGTCAAACTGTAATGAATCTATGGGAGTACAAATATAGCTGCTTAGCTAATATTGATCCAATAGGAAATTGAGTCACATAGCAAGGGTATGTGAAAACAACAAAGATATTTTGGAGAAGGAATGGGTCAAGATGCTTTGGTTGCCCACATGGGTGATAGATACATACCTGGATTTACTGGGCCAGCTGGTGGTAAATGCAATATTATCTGAAGTTATTGATTATCCCTTAGGGAGGCATGTAGGCCTGGCCACTGCACCTTTATCTTGAGGCCTGGCCATCTTCAGATCCACCTTCAGCCACAATTCTGATGTTTTTATTTTTGTGCTAGCTTCCTTGAGAGCCCAGCCTTTCTCTGACTGTATACTGATATCTATTTAGAGTTTAATTTTTTTCCTAAGATTTTGAGAAATTTCTATAATTACTGGGGTTCATTCTCTTGATGCTCCAAGACTCAATCTCTCTCTTTCTCTCTCTCTCTCTCTCTCTCTCTCTTTCTCTCTCTCTCTCTCTCTCTATCTCTCTATCTATCTATCTATCTCTGTTTCACTCTGTAACTCTCTCCTTTCTCCCTTTCTCCTCTGTTTGTTGTTTCTTTCATTTTCAGAACCCAGGATTAGTACATTGCTGGCTTGGTTATAAGGCCATAAAGAGAATAAATGTTTATGCAGGTTCTTCCTTGGCTGACTATTAATGACAGCCACTCTTCAAAATAATTGTAGGAAACTAGTAGAAGTGGTTGGTAGCCTTCCAGTGCCTAAATCATGAATTAGGAAATGTCTTCTCCACAGCCTGAGGTGGATTTGACTTCTAGGGAGTAGATTTCAATCACAGTAGTACTATCTATCCATTCTCCTGGGAATTGGATCATAATTGGACTTCTAATCTGGGCATGTCAATCTGTGTTATTTTGGGTAGTGTTCTTACTTGTCTAGGCCTCAGTTTCACTATTTATTAGGTAACAATATGGTTTCCTGTCTCTGTCTTCCTCTTAAACAGATACAAAACATGATTTTGAAAATTGTCAGCCAGACATGGTGGCACATGCCTGTAATACCAACACTCAGAAGGCTGAAGCAGAAGAATTGCCATGAGTTTGAAACCAGTTTGGGTTAATACTGAGGTCAAGACCAGACTGTATTACAGTTAGACCCTGTGTTAGACAAGAAGGAAAGGAAAAGAAGGAAAGAAGGAAGGAAGGAAGGAAAGAAAGAAAGAAAGAAAGAAAGAAAGAAAGAAAGAAAGAAAGAAAGAAAGAAAGAAAGAAAGAAGAAAGAAAAAAGGAAAGAAAAAGAAAGAAAGATGAAAACTCTGAAGGAAGAGAAGGTTTCAGAATGGTTGTAATTACTGCTAGCTTTATCTGAGCAGCTTAGATTCTCAAAGAGGAGAGTGCAGCTTCACAATGACAAAATTTTACTGCTCTTTTTTCTAAGTGTGAGATCCTGCACTGTAGATGTACAAATATACAATAGTATGCCAGAGGCAACTTGTATCATTTCTGAAGAAGCAATTGTATGCACCTCTTCCCAATTACCATATCCAGTAGCACCCCATTGATAGATTGAAATAGTCTGTGGTGAGACTAAGTAATGTAACAAAAATCAGCAAACACTACAGATCAATATGTTTTACATTTTTTTCAGATATTCAGACCTTTATCCGGTACAAGGGAACTACCAGTCTAGGAATGCGTGTGTGTGTATGTGTGTGTGTGTGTGTGGATGTGCATGCATATATGAAGGTAGTAACATAAGCATGCATATAATAGGTAAATATATTAAATTAACTATGTGATACTGGGTTTTTTGTGTCAGTCAAAACCAGTCTAGCATTATCAATTTCACATGTCTTAAGCTAACAGGATATTATATATAGCAGAACACAGAGTACTGGGAAAGCTAAAAAATTATTTCCCAAAGCCTTTGTCTTATGATCTGAGGCTAGGCTAGAGCTAGCGTGCTTTGACTTTGAAATCTCCATTACCATTTTTTTTTGTCTTCTGATTCCTTGTTAAATTAGTGCAGGTAACACAATTCAGGCTGACAGACCACTCCCCCTCCATCCACTGAGCAATACTGTAGGGTCAGTCCTTTATCCGTTGTCCTAAGAGAAGCAGAAATAAGAATAACAATGACCCAGGGAATCTCTAAAACTCCAGGCCAGATCACATGCATCTTATATCCCATGGCATGACCTACAATAACATTTTTCCCACTCAAACTTTATTAAACTTTATTAAAGGGTCATGCACGGGGACTGCATGGCATGCATGTGATTACAACAGTGTGAATTGTGAGAGTCATGTGCCCTGGATGCCCTTGAGATGACTCAGCACCCTATCAGTCATTTCTGTCAGTCATATCTAGAGAGATTCCGTGAGAAACCCCCTAGGTGGGGCACACATCTTTTAAATCCAAAAGCCTGATTTATCCCTCTCCTCACATTCCCTTGCCATCCTGATAGCACTTTTTTCCCAGTTCTTGGCACCCTTTTTGTTTCTGCTGGAACAAACTCATATGCCCTGAGCACACCTTCCCCAAAAAGTTCAATAAATGTAGCTACTTTTTCTCTTACCATTGAGTGTATCCTTGCAATTCTTTGCTTGATGTACACAAAAATCTGGACGCTTAGCCCTCACTGTTGGTGAGCCTAGACAGGAGCAGGTAGCCAGGGAATAGCAATAGCCCAGCCAAGAAGAAAGGTAAAATCTGTCTTTTAGGGGAGAACTTATTCTCCTTCTCCTTTTTATGAGCAACCAAGATCACTTGTTTTGGGCATGTGATAGATGGCTGATTGCTGTTTGCGGTATTCACTGTGGTGGAGAAGTCTCCCAGGGAAGGGGATGTCCTGGTCATGGATTGAAGAGTTTTGGCCTTTTCCAGGGAAGGGAGGGCTCTATTCCATCAGTCTGGGTTGTGCTTGTATGACCCGCCCCTTTTGCCATTGACCTCTGAAGCACTGGGTATACTATCCCTCTAGGGGAATGAAACAGAGATGAGGTGAGGTGTGTCAGCTTGCAAGTATCATGGTCTGTGCATACCCTTGGCTCCTAGAGCCATTTGCTGGGGAACCAAATTCACTCAGGCTACCACCCTCTAGCACCAAGAGGCTGCATCCTTGAGCTTTCTCTTGGGTATGGGCTTAGTCTATATGATGCCATGGCTTCCTTTGTTGGAGGTGGCTGGGAGCACGCCCTGGACCATATGGATTTGGTCGATCACTTGGATAGTGGTTAAAGTTGTTCATGGGACCTGGTGGAACCTATGGACTCATGCTGAGTAGGTTCCCTTCTGAGGTGTGTTTTCTGTTCCTGTATCTCCCCTAGGGTAGCCCCAGTGCCCCCTCAGGTTTTCATCTGTTAGAAAGTGCAAACCCATTGGTTTTTTTTTTTCCTGGTATGGGTTAACTTGGTGAGGCAGAGATTTAGAAGATAAAAGACTAGTCCAGTTCTCCTCCCTATAAGAGGGAGCAAAGTTTGTGGCCTTTTGTTTTATAAAGGTACAAATTCCAAGTGAGAAGGCTGCTTTGGCCCTTCTTGGCTATCAGTTGAAACTCTCCTGGGTCCTAGTGTTGATAGTCAAGCCACTTTATGGATATTTCTTTCTGGGGTTACTTCTTTCATACAAGCTCTCTTCCTCTGTCCATCGTACTTGGTTCTGGTGCAGTATTACTATGACAACTTTGGCCTCAAGTTTATGTTCCTCTTTAAAAGGATGTTGAACTTGTAGTTGCTAACTGAAGTTTCATTGTGAAGCTTTTATTTGTGTGACTTTTCATTATGAAGTTTTCATTTGCCAGAAAACTTGTATCCTTTTGTGGCACAAACTAGCAAAAATGCAAAGGAGTTGGTGATAGAGGAAGGGGTTAAGGAGGATAAGGTTACTATACAAGGGCTCAAGTTTTAGAAACTCGGTTCTTCTTGGACTGCTGGACACAGTTGGGTCGAAGATTATACCTTGCTTGGGCCCTGGGGGTTTTTTTCCCCTAAAGACATGTCTTATCCTCTGTTCTTACACTCCCACCTAGTGGCAGATAAGGGGACATGACTGAAGACCATTTGTCAAATTGTTTATCTTTGTCAGAAAACCTGTGAAGCAAAATTATGCAGAAAAATTATCAAGATTTCATTGAGGGAAGCGCTTACTCCTCCTCCTTAGGTATCCTGTGACATTAGATGGTTTTAGAATCAGCTAAAGATGTTAGGGAATCCCAGTTCTGGACTCTCTGTCCTTACAAGATGCCCATACAAGACCAGAGACATCTGGCATTCAAGGAGTTCAGATCTACTAAGGGACATCTCAGATACATGGGAGGACCACAGCAAGCAAAGAAACACAAGAAGCAACTTTCAGGGTATAAGGGGACTGGGAGGAATTTGCCTCTAGTGACCTGGCTCGGCTACCTCCGCAGTTGGGTCTCTTTTATTGCCTAGCAAAAAGTGCAAGGGGAGGGGGTAACATACGTTTCATGGAAGAGTAATTACAGAAAATAGGTGGATATTTATTCCTGGTACTGGAAAGAAAAACAAAACAAAATGGAAAATGGGTGGATAAGGATTGAATTAATGAGGAACCAGATTTTCTCTAAATTTAAATCCCTGTATTTTGACAACTGTCATCAGCAGATGCTGTCTTGCCTCGGGAGTTCTGGGTTATTAACATTCAGCCCATAGCCAGGGGACAGCTGTTCTTCCACATACCTCCCTGTTCCTGAAGCAAGATCACATGACCTCAGGACTAGGAGAGTTGAAATCATGTAGTTGAACCCCTCATGATCTATCACATAGCCTGATCCCCCATAATAGACTGACCTACAGGATGCCATGTAAGTTTCCCACTTGGGAATTGACTGGGCAAAGCTCTATAAGGTTCCTAATCACAAGAACTCATAATCCCATGGAGTTTGGCTTTACTAGGATGTCATGGGGGCTGATTAGTTTGGGATCCAACCAGAAATTTCCCGTAAGGTCACCGTGAAAGGGTCAGGGACTGATTGAAGGAAAGGCCTGTAAGTGATATAGGAGAAACTTCCAACCTGAACAATATCTGGGATGAGTTCATGTTCTCTAAAATCAAAGAATGAATTTTAGGAACAACAGAGGTTAAGAGCAGAATTTATTGAGGGAAAGAAAACGTCTGTCTGAGAGAGGGACAGAAGGGGGCCTGAGTAGGTTGCCCAGGGAACCTGTCTTTTCCAGGGATTTTTATAGAACAAGACCACATGGTGAAGCACATCCAAAGTGGGGAAAAATGGGAAATCACAAGGTGGGCATGAGGTGGGACAAAATTATGATCAGCCAATAAGATTACAAGTAAAATTGATTAAATTGGGATCAAATGGGGAAGCGAGTCATGCCTGAATACAGAACAGAGATGCTTCAGGGTGATTGCTACCTATTTAGAATAGCAATCCCCGATGTTTATTCTGAGGGAGTTATGTAGGTGCATTTTTCCATTCTTTTGTCTTAAGGTCTGGCCTGCAGCAAGTACAGTCTCCATTTGCAAGGTATCTTGTCTTCCATATTGGCTCCTTTGAGGGCCTGGCCCTGTCTGACTGCCTATAATAGTTCTAACTCATCAGTCTATAACATGTTTCCCACAACCTAATTTTTATTCCTCCTGTCTACAGGTCCAACATGGAAAACACCTCATCTAGTCCATGTGACTCCCCACTTGGATGCCTCCTCAGACACTGTGAAAAATTTGACCCTAGATCCTTCAGAAAGAATATTTTATATTCCTGTGTAATAAGGCATGACTTATATACCCACTTGGGGAAGAAGAAGAGTGGCCACCCTTTGGCTGCCTAAAACATAACAGCATACTTCAATTAGAAATTTTTTGGTAGAAATGGGGAAAATAGTCAGACGTGTCTTACGCCTGAGCCTCCACGGCCCTCTAACAAAGACCCGATCTTTGCCCTGGAACTAATCCTCCTTTGTGAGCTGATGCTCCTGAGGACTTCCTCTTGGCAGCCACTCATCCCCATAGGCTACCTGTTTATCAATCAGCACATTCAGTATCCCTGGAAAATAAAGACCACCCACTAAACCCTCAAACACCAGATCTGGGTCTGCTATTATAAAGGCCCAGATTCAGAGAAATGGATATCTAAGCCTTGCACTGTTCTACCCCTTTAAGAAGCGGCAGGCACAGATGATACTGTCCAAGTTCACGCTCTGTTTTCAGTAATGGATGTTCAACAATTCACAGAGAAACTGGGTAAGTTTTCCAAGCACTCTGATAAGTTTGATGATTGATTCCACATACTGACAATGGCTTATGCCCTGGTAAGACGTCTAGTTCACCTTGAATTTTTGAGGTACAGCCATAGAAAGGGAATGGATTATAAGACCTCCAGGACAGGCTAATGCTGCAAATTTCACTACTGCACCCACTGAGAATCAGCCAACTGATGCATTGTTTGGATTACAGCAAGAAGACCCAGGTAGAATTATAACCCAGGGGATGGGAAGAGAGGGACATGAACTCAACAGTCCAAGCAAGTTTATTGCTAAATCTGAGAGGGACCGCTCTTTGAGTGGCTCTTAAAGGCTAAGAGGCTTTTAAATAGTGTTTTGTGGCAGGCTTTTAAGGAGGATGGGTCATAGAAACACCAAACACCAGACTTACATCTTGCTGATGTGTCCTTTGTAACCTGCTGATGTGTCCTCTGACTTCCTATCCTCTGGGGCCTTTTCATGGCCTGTTGACATGTCCTCTTGTGACCTAAGTAAAATAAAACCTAAGTTTCTCTCAGATGGTGGATTGGCTAATTCAAATTGGTCATGCCCCTGTCCAGGATCTATCAATACCTTTGGGCCATCTTAGTGGGTATGTACCAGGGCATGCCCAAGCCAGTAAATTATAAACTCAGGAGTCTCAGTCGGGGCTCTGAAGAAAATCCAGCTGTTTTCCAACACTGACTTGAAGAGGCAGTCCATAAATCCACTAATTTAAACTGAGAATCAAGGACAGGCCAAATTATCTGCAGACAGTATTTTATTAGCAGTCAGATATAAGGAGAAAACTCCAGAAATTTCAACAGGACTCACAAGCTGGGATAATTCAATTGGTCAATGTGGCTTGCTTGGGTTTAATAACCTTGATAAAGTAGAGAACAAATAGGAGTTTAGTCAGTAAAAAAACAGGCTAACGTCATGCTAGCTCAAATGGATAAGGCTCGTGATAAACCCCACAACACAAAGAGGGACTTAGGTAATCCAAAAAGTGATGGAATCAAGTTAGAGGGCTTCAAGTGCAAGTGATCAGGGCACTAGGCAAGAGAGTGACTTCTAAAGCTGCCGAATCCCTGTTGGACCTGTCATAACGTAGATGAGGACTCATGGCAGTAGAGAAGGGACTGCCTTCATTCCCAGACACAGCTGAGGTTTTTCGCCACAGTGGTGGCCAGGGAAGAAGGCCCAGACAGTGAATAGTGGTGCCCAAAGCAGTGTGTGTAACTCCCACACAAGGATATTTCCATCACCTTGCAGAAGCCTTGGTTGACACTGGATGTGTCAGGCAAACAAATTTCAACCCCTGCTGTACACTGCCATTTGAGAGATTTACTTTTCAGGCTGCCTTTGTGGTGATACTAGAGTGCCACTTACCAGTAACTGGAAGAGATATACCCTTCCTGTTCAGGGCCACTCTGTCAGTCAAACTTCTGCAAACTTATGTCCTAGTTGCTAAGGACCCAGCCAGTTTGATCCCATTGGGCCTGCTTTCTCTGCAGAAAGTTCATCACCAAGGAAGTTATGATGGCACCCCAGGGACGGTTGCCAAGGCCACTCTAGTAATCATTCAGCTGAAAGACCCTATTTTATACCCTCAAAAAAGACCATATTAACTTAAGCGGGAAGCTAGACAGGGGTGAAATCCAAATTGTTGATAAATTTTGGCTACTTTTTTGCTGGTGTGATGCCGGTCCTCATGCAATATACCAATTTTACTGATTGTCAAGGCCTCAGGAGAATATCACCTAGTCCAAGATCTCAGAGCCGCCAATGAGAGACACTAATCAATTCTCTGCCTTGATCTCAAAGATGCCTTCTTTTCCAAATGAAGTAGCAGTTGTCCATTGCCAGGGACATCAAGCCTCACTGAACCCTGTCTCCCAGGGTAATTCTAAGGAAGGTTCAGTTGCCAAACAGGTCACTTTCCAAAATATTACCAGCCCATTACTGGTTCTAACCATGGTCACACTATAAGATCCTGACTTAGAGACAGGATATTCTGTGGAAGAGCTTTAAATGATTCATGTGTGATGAGAGAGGAGTCCAAGAGGACTGACTGTGGTATGGGGAGCTTAGGCTGCGCTTCCCACAACATCTACAGGGAAAAGTCGTTAAGTCCCTACATGACGCCTTCCACCTAGGTTGGAACACCACCACTGCTATGGCACATAGGCCCTCTATAAGCCCTGGACCCTATAACCTTTAAAAATAGGCATATAAATATATTTGTACCCTTCTTTCTTCTCTTTGCTTATTTAAAAGCAAGTACAATTATATGAAATCATCATTATAACAATGTATTATTGGTTTAAAATCATATAGGCATAACATATATAATACTAATGACACAGAAAAGGAAGAGTGGAGGTAAATAGGAGTAAAGTTTCTCAATCTTACTGGAACTATATTCCTGACTACTGTGATTATTGGGGATCACCACTGCACTTTTGGTTTTATTTTCACAGCTTTATATGCTGCCTTCTCAGTGGAACAGTACCTGGTCTCCCAAGCCTTCTGAAATCAAGTGAAAATTTCCCTGATCTTACACCTTTTACATTCTGCATGTCTGTAAAATTGTCATCATGTGGATGACAACAAGGTCTGATGCCAGCTATAGCAGTCATTGCCACCATCCCCTCATCAGGCCCACAGTGGTCTCTGAGTGCCTGGATGACTGAACACAGTGAAATGAAACCTGGCAGTCTAATTCTGAAGCATGCCCTTCTGGAGCAAGGTGGCCCAGAGAGTCTCTTCTCAGAGGAAAAGCTTTATAGCTTTATACCTTTGAGTCTGCAAGGGTGGGTTCCACTGATTCCTGAAATGCCAGCAAATCATATTTCCAATTTTCCTAATGTAGAACAATTAGCTTCTTTTTAATGCTAATCTTTTTAGAAACCAAACTCTTCTCAACCAAAACTTTGCAGATTTTCTCTCAGGCAAAACTGAGAACTTTTTAAAATGGGCTCTTTGCTCCTGTTTTTCAGTCGATTTTACTAAAGCAGCAAGTGTTATGTATGCTACGTTCTGAACATTGGGATGTCTTGAAATTTTCTCCACCAATTTAGTTAGTTCAGTTCCCTTACTCTTAGACTCAGGACATGAACTAAATGTAGACAAATAATTTTCTGCCAGAATGTAGCACACATGGCCTCTAGCCCAACCTCCAAATGGAGTCCTTCCCAACTGAAACTTCCTGACTCCAAGTTTTACAATCTTCATTTCTATAAGCATTTTGATTCTCTTGGATCTGACTGGTATCTCACAATTTTGACTTCATCACCCTAGGGCTTCTTTAGGCAGCACCTCCAAACTTTTCCAAACTCCTCTTGAGAACCAGTTCTGAAGGCATCTGAACCACATGGTCAGGTATACTCATAGCAATGGTCAGGTATGCTCATAGCAATGACCCTACTTTTCTGATACAAAAATCTGTCTTAGACACTTTCTCATCACTAGGACACAATACCTGACACCCACAACTTAAAGGAACAGTAGTTTGCTTGGGCTCATTCCATAGTTGCTAGGCTCCAAGGCAGGAAGGCATGGTGGAATCCTTTGGCAGAAGAAAGCTACTCATGTCATGGCAACCAGGTAGCAGAGAGTGATGGGAAGCAACAGCGAGGACGATCCATGCTGAAAGATCACACTCACAACCACCTGCCCTTTACAACCAGGCTCTACTTCCTAGCAGTATATTTACCTATAGAGTCACCATAATTCAGTTTCCAGACCCTCTGTCTATGAGCACATGAGGCTATTGTGGAAAATCGCTGTATAAAATACAACACCAAATAAATAAACTAATGATACATTTCAAGGTCTTAGAAAGAAATGGATAATCTGATCTGAAACTAAAAGAAGGAAAGAAATTATAAAACTCAGAGTGGAAGTTAATAAAATTGAGGCTTCATAAAATGATATAAAGGGTCATTAATCAAAGAGTTTATTCTTTGGAAGGGTAGCCAGGGAGGCTGTTGAATGGAAAGAGAAATTAAAAAGATCAAGATGTAATATATATATATAATCTCCAAGATGAATATAAATATATTTACTATGAATGACAAACATATACTAGTAAAAAAAAATAAGAAAAATAGCCCAAAACTCATCCTACAATGGAGGAAGAATAGTGAATTGGCCCTACTTTTTTTGCAGACAATTTTAAATGAGCACTCGATCTACAAAGTTGCAGCAATGGTGAAAATCTAGGTATTATGCACTGATGTCCTCTAGCCTGACTTCATTTGTCATTGGTCAAAACAGAGAACTGAGAAAAAAATAGGAAGAACAGCACTGGACATTCAGAAGAACAACTAAATCTCATTATTCTCATGTAAAATAAAGTCTCACAGAATACCAACGTCAGAGAAGATTAGTCTGAGACCATGAGAAAATGAGATAAAGCAAGGCCAGCTCACAATTTTGCCTAACCACAGAAAAAAATAAGTTCACTATATTACCCACAATACCAAATCCATCCTGTTTGCCAGAATGAATGTTTGCTACTTCTTCTCAAATTATATTTTATTTTCACTCTAGTATCCCTTCCCCATAGATAAGATTTAATGATATATACAGTAATCGTATTGCCCTTGATTTCTGACAGCACATAATCTAGAGCAAACTTTCACTTCTTTAGAGTTTCTTCTAAATCATCCAACCAAAACCTAAATGTTATACATTAGCCCTACTTTACCCATGGGGAATACATTTTCCAATTCCCATTCAATACCTAAAATCATAAATAGTTTTCATCATATATGTACTTTTGTTTGTCCATATGTGCATACCTACAAGAAAGCTTATTTTATAAATTAGGCATAGTACAAAGTTAGGCCTAGTAACTAAAAGAGAATAATAATAATAATGTGGTATAAAAAATATTTAAGCCTTATATATTATTAATTTCTGCGGTTTTCCATTTGGTATTTCCAGATTACACATAAATGAAACTATGGAAAACAAAGCCTTGGATAATGGGGCATTATCACAGTATATTCTTACACATCTTAGTGAGACACCCCCATGGTTATCCCTGATGTGTGCTTTCCCTTGCTGCGAGAAGTAATGAACTGAATTTACTTAAGTACAGGCATATTCTACAGAGAGTTTGACTGAAGGGCATTGACAGTGGGTGCAAGATTTTTGGAGGGACACATGATGAATATATTCTAAAATCTGTTATGATGACAATTA